GTGACCATCCCCCCTGGGGGGTGATTTCTCGCTTTCTGTCTCTATGTCTCTCTCTGTCTGTCTGGCGAGCGTATGCGCCCTACAGTGAAAATCTCTCCAAAAAAAAAAAGAGGACTCCAGGACAGGGCAGAGATGGGCATGCCCTTGGGATCCAGTCTCTTCTGAGACAGAGTGGGAGGAGCCCTGTGGCCCCCCGCAAGACCTCCACTCAGACACATCATGGTCACTCCCTTCCCCACTGCATCTCAGGCCAGAGCTGGCTCACCTGCGGAGGTCCCCGCGGTGGCCTTACTCTGACAGCCCTCCCCAGGTGCTGAGCCCTTCTCTGTGCAGCCTGGCGCCTGGGGGTGCTGGGAGTGGGGCAGGGGAGCTCTGACCCAGGCCCTCTGTGGACAGGCTGAAGGAAGAGTCCAGCCCCCGGCCTGTGAGAATCTGGGACAAAGAATCTCACACCCACTGGCCCACTCCAGGCCTGTTTCCTCAGCTGTAACAGAGGAAAACACTCTTGCCAGGAAAGGTGCGGACTCTGTTCTCTCCACGGTCCTGAGGTCCCTAAGACAGCCAGAGCGCTCAGCAGTCTGTGCCTCCTCAGCTGCTCCATGGTGTCCCCCCAGCCTTGCCACACCTCACACTCAGCCCCGAACTTCCGGAAGCACCTTCCCTGTGGCCTCACAGAGCAAGTCCCCGCCTGTGGGCAGAGGGTGCAGTGTGCCCTCTGAGGGCGCCCAGCTCGGCCTCTCCCACAAGCTGGAGCTCTCATCACAGCCCCTAGGACGTCAGTACGCAGCACGGCCCACAGGAAAGCTGCCAGAACATGTGTCCTATCTGGGCAGGCCCGTCCGTGATGCCCCTGGGCTGTCCCTCCGGAGGCCCCAGGGCCCACGTGCAGCAGCTGAGACTAGACGCTTCTCCCAGGCAGTCCTCTAGTCATTCAGCAAACGTTCTGCTAGAGCCTGCTAGGATCCTTGGCCACAGGGACAGCACCATCTGTTCCCTGCCGGTCACTGGGTCTCCATGGCTCTGAATGTCAGGCTGTAGGGTTGGGATATGACCAGGGAGGGGAGAGAGTCAAGGGTTTGTCCCTAATCACTGGTCACTTTGTGGGCATTTGCCTGGAGCATCTGTCGGGCTCTGGAAGGGCCTGCAACTCCACACAGATCCAGGAGGCCCAGACTCCTCCTCCAGCCCGCATGGACAGGAAGCCCTGCACGGGAATACAGACCTCTCTGACCACCCCACACCTCTATTTCTGGGGTTAGGACAGCTTCTGCATAGTCCAGGGATGTGCACGTCTCCAGGAAGGGTGTCTGGCCCAGGCCCTTCCTGCCTGCTCAGCCTGGACTTGCTCTCCTGTGTAAGTAGCAGCCCCAGGCCTGTGACTCAGACGCCAGGCCCAGCAACGGGCAGCAGGCAGTCACTGCTTTCATGCCGCAGCCTGCCCTGGGAGCGCTTCCCACCTGGCCTCCTCGGGCTCCTCCAGCACTCCCCTGGCAAGTTCTGGGACCTGGCCTTCTGGTCTTACTCCCAATGCTGGATCCATAGGGCCCTCGGGCCCACATCCTAGATACCGGATGTGAGGCCGGAATCAGTTCCTGCCCTTCAGACTTCCGTGGTCTCCTCCCCAGGCACCAACGGCTTCCTGCCCCCAGGCTGACCCACCCCACTTATCCGACACACCATAGTCAGGCCCTCCCTAATGAGGCCCTGCCAGAGCCCCTCCCAGGGTATGGAATGACAGGAGTCCCTCTCCAGGAGCCTGGAAGCTTCCCAGGCCTGCTGCCCATTGCCCCTCAGTTCTTCTCTTCCTTTGACCACTAATGCCCTCTGCACTGGTGGCTGTGCTGGGCTGGCCCGGGGTCAGCAGAGCTCAAGTCCCTACCCCTGCCCTGGTCCTCAGGCGCTGTTTCTAGAGAAGGCCATGGCCGAGTCAGGCACCTCCTTTCCTCCAGGCTCTCCCTCAGGCTCAGTCCAGCTGCCTGTCCCACTGCCCCTCTTGCTTCCAGAAGGGCCTTCCCTGACCTCCAAATGCTTTGCTGTGGGCTCTGTCCCCACACTCTTGAATCCTCTTTGTAGCCTAGTCCTGCCACCTCCACTGTAAAGACTTCACAACCCTGAGTTCGCAGGGAACAAGGAGACCAGGCACGGCTGAACCAGCTCACACTGGAAAACGCAGAGGGGAGTGGAGGGAGCCTGAGCCCAGGGTCCCTGGCATCTGCCCTTGGCCCCTGGGCATTCCAGGCTCCCCAACTGTGGTGCACTCCTAAGGGCCTCAACTCCCACTGACTGGGGTCCCTATGGGAAAGAGCCCCCACCAGAGCCTTGCTTCTGGCTTGTGACTCCCACGGTCACTTCTCCAGGCAATCTCTAGCCCAGATCATGACTGTGAGGGGGTGGGGCTGGATTAAAGATCTTCATCCAGCAAATATTTACTGGGAGCAGGGACTACGGTCACACACAGACATGTGGCAAGGGGGTAGACGCGCCCCAGCAGGGTACAAGGTGTGGTGCACAGGAAACAGGGAGGTCAGGTGACACAGAGCATAGCCTCACATGGGGATAGATTCTGGGGAGGGGCTACAGGCAGGAGCCCAAGAGTGCTGGACAGAGGCGACCACAGGTAGCTGGTCAAGACTCTCCAGGACAGGGAGATCCCAGTTCTGGAAGGTAAACGTGGCTTCCACTCAGATACCAGCTGGAAAACTGGGCAGACAGGCTAAGTGTAGGGTGAGGGCAGGGAAGCTGAGGATGGGCATGTGATGGGAGCAGTCGGGAAGGCCATGTTGCTAGTGCCTGGGCTGAGGTCTGGGAGGAGGGGTTGGGTCAGGCCATCAGTCCTAGGAAGCCCATGGGGAGGCCCTGTCTGTGGAGCCGGCATCTCCGGGCATCATAGCAGGCAGTGCTCAGGACTGAGGTCCATTTGTTTGTTTTGGTTTTGATTTTTTTTTTTTTGGAGAGGTTTTTGCTATAGGGCGCATGCGCTCGCCAGAGAGAGAGAGACAGAAAGTGAGAAATCATGCCCCAGGGGGGATGGTCACACCGCAATCCCTTCTCCGTTCTCTTGGGATCTTGGGCATGCACGCTCACGTGCCCGGCGTGAGTTTAAGCCACCGGGTCTAGGGCGTGAACCACAGTCGACTACATGGGAGTCCAACAACATAGCCATTATGCTAACTGCTGGTCCCCTGAGGTCCATTTGTTACCGTCCAAGGGTCAAGGCCCAAGTGCCAGGATGTACTCTGGGAAGGGGCAGGGGGGCTCTGGAGAGGACCCAGAAAGACAGCTGCTGCATTCCTTGGCAACCACTGCAAGATCCCTTTGGCCAACTTGTGCCTGAGAAAGCCAGGGTCCCTCATCTTCCTCATTAGATGGGGAGGTCTGAGCTGCATTTGTGCCTGGAGAGGGCTGGGCTGTTCACTCCTAGAAGGTGTCACCACGGTAGTGCTAAGGCCCCGGCTGGGGCAGCAGGGAGGTCAGCCTGGTACAAGCAGGTTTCCAGCACACAAGGGCAGTGGTCTGATCACCTTCACCCGCAGGATGAGGGAGTGGCCTCCGAGATCTCATTCCTAGGCCATGCCACCCACGTAGCCAAACTCGCATGGAGAACCCTGGTGGCCACTCTAATTGGACAGCACAAGGCCCCCAGGTCAGGTGACCTCAGCTGATGGCTGTGTAGGCATGCCCTGCTGGCAGCCATAGAGACTGTATCCTCCTGGGATCCTGCTAGTTGCCAGCTGAGGGGACAGGGAGCTCGGCCTGGCCCTGGGCCCTAGGAACCCGGCCTCCCTTGGAGAGGGGCTCGCTAGCTTTGTTCTCTACCGAGATCCAACTCTGGCCTCAGTGGCAGCAGAGACAGGCATCAGTGCGCTGGCGCTGGACAGGGCCAAGCCGGCTCTGCTCTGGGCCCAGCTGGAGCCTGAAGAGGGTGGGGATGGGGGGCGCAGGCTGAGGCAGGGGAGGTGGAAGGGAAGTATTGTAGGTGGGGCAGTGGTGGGGGTCTCATCTCTCCTGGTCCTCTGGGCCTGTCCAGCAGATAGAGGGAGAGGTGGTGAAGGTGCAGCTCCAAGCCCAGGCCCTAGGAAGAGCTCCAGATGTCTCCTTGGGGGTCCATGCTTGACCCTGATTATGGCTGAGTG